TATATATATATAATTGCTGGCTAATAGCATTTAATAAAATATTTAATAAAACCTCATTTCTATTTCCCTCTAAAAACCGTTACAAACTTTATCATTTATATCTCTCTCTCTCTATATATATATTTAATTACTAATAATAAATTTAATAACATGGATTATTCTTTACTATCTTTTTATGTTACAATCTTCTATTATTATTATTATTATTATTTTTTTATTATTATTATTATAATTATTATTATTATTATCTATATATATAATTACTAGCTGATACATTTAATAAAACATTTAATAAAACCTATTTTCATTTTCGTCCAAAAGGGATTACATTTCTTTAATTAGTTACTCATTAATCTGCTAAAACCGTACACCTTAATATATATTTCTATTATATATTTTTTGGATCAGTTACTAAATTAATTCAAAATTTGGTAGCAAAATATTTAAATGTGTAACGTCTAATTTTTGGAACTTAAAGTTGATTGGAACATTCAGAGATATAACCGCTATATTTGGTTGCATTGTTGGAAAAAAAATATGATTGACACAATTTTTTTCTAAAAATAAAAAAACCAATAATATTTTTTATTTATGTTAAATTTCTTAATATATGCCACAAATATATAAATTATTTTAAATGTTGCATGGTTAAATAAAATTTAAATGTCAATCAATTTTGAATGATAAAAATAACTTAAGAAAAAATAATAATTTTTATATGGTAGAAGTACATGTCTAATTAATAAATACAAACAAAAAAAGTGTTTTATATCTATGCAAATGCACAGGATCAAATACTAGTATATATAATTACTAGGTTATCCTATTTAATAAAACATTTTATAAAAACATTTTCACTTTCTCTCCAAAATGAGTTACATTTTTTAATTAATTACTCATTAATCCCACATTTAAGAAGGTTTTTTTAATTAAACCTAATTAGTTAATGGCTAAATTAAAAAATGTTTTTTTTAGTTAATCCCACATTTATGTTTCTTATTGTCATTTATATATATAAACGTGATAATCATTATTGTTGTGCAGAAACTATATATTATTATTTTTTATTCCATTATGAATTGAATAAGCAATTAAAGTTATAAAAAATATTAATAAATGTAATAAATACAAACATTATATTACAGATCATGTTACATTACAATATAAAAAATTAAATTATTTTTTTTTGTAATTTAATTTCCAGCCATACTCCATCAAATAGCTGCAAAATGATAAGAAATATTAGTTTCATAATTAAAATAAAAAATTAGCTCCCCCAAATGGTAAAACCTTATAAATTAGTAGTATAGATACATTAAAATGACATATAATTTATAAAGTTAGACTATACGAATAATAAGATGAACTAAAAAATTAATAGAGTAAATAAATAAATTGACAGTCTATATAATTATTATAGCAAAGTCTATATTGTCAATATTATTATTTAAAATGTTCATTGAAAAAACATATGTATAAAAAAAATTCATACGATCATAATTAATAGTGCAAAATTAACTATCTTTGACTTTCCATTTGGTAGTAATAATAAAATATTTTATATTACTACTATTCAATAAAATGCATGATTTCTGCAGATTTGATTATCGCAATCAACATTCTGTTTTATAAATTAAAAAGTGTGTTGAATAAATTGTCTATATTTTTCATTAAAAAAACTGTTGGTCGTGAAAAAAAAAATTATTTCAAAATTATAAATATAAATATGATTAATTTTCATTAAACAATTCCTCTTTAAGAAAAAAGTGGCGGGACAAATTTCTGCATATTTTAGCATCAAAACATAATCAAAACATCAATATTTTAAGGCATTAAAACCATACTTTCAGCAACAAAAAGGTCATATTAAACGGAAATTGGCAAAGTCAAAGAATGGGGATTGACAAGACATTGTATGTAATGACAGATTGTTGTATAATATAGAAATATCAAGCATAACTAATAATCAACAAAAAAAGTCAAATCTATATAAAAAAAAAAAAATCAAAGTTAAAAACACAACAAATTATGTGGAACATTATTGGAAACTATACAATATAGAAAGAAAAATAATTTTATTTTCCTATCATTATCAACACATTCAACTTTTACCAAGACATCTGCCTTTATATTAAAATCGATTTTTTGCGTAAAAGTTTTAAAAATAAAAATTCCTACATATTCTCTTAAACATTAAACAAGAAATTCCTAATATGCGATAAATATATGTAAACAGATTTGTTATAAACTTACCTAAAAAACTTCGGGAAAAGACTTTGAACAACTTCGAAAAGCAATTTTGAACAAGTGTTAGCAAAGCTTCACTTACTGATATGATGAGAAAGACGAGAAAGAATTGAACTATTTAGTGTTCAAATCTGAACAAAATACATAAAAGTTACATATGTATGTTATAAACATATATGAACAGATATGTTATAAACTTACCTATACATTTGTTAGTAGAGGAAAACAGATCTGTTAGAAACTTACCTATTTTTTAAACCCTGAACAAAATACATAAAAGTTTGAAAATGTTCAACCAATGTCATGTTCTCTTTGAAAAACGATTTCAAAAAACATCTAAATAATTTCGAATTATGTATAAAATATGATATATCTTTGAAACTTATTCAAAAAGAATTTCGAAAAACGACACAGATCATTGAAAATAATAAAAATAAAAACTATGTTTAACAAAAAAAATATTTCAGCTCTTCATAGATTTGTAATATTATCACCCGATTTTGGCCGACCTGTTAAGATTTAGCAACACAGATTAAGAAATTGGGACGAATATTTATTTTTCGATCACTACTTTTGGCCACAAAAACAACATTTTTCGATTTTTTTTTATTTTTTAAGTCTTTACTTGGAGAAGATCTCCGATAAAACATTTATTTTTTATTGAATCTCGCCGAGTTTGTCGTAAGATCGGGTTAAGTACTAGGGTTTCAGAGATAATGAATAACGAAAGAAGCGCCGACATCAAACAAAAAAAATTGGCTTATATCACTCAAGGAGTTTATCTCTATTTATAGTCATGTTATCATTGACCTGTTTTATATTTGATTTTGGCTACCCTAAAAAATTAAGTTGACTTCTAATATGGGTTTTTTTTATCATTCAATCAATATATTTCTTTATGACCCAACAATTGCCATTTTGTTCAAAATGTCTTAAATATTTGGCACATATCTTTATTTATCAACCAAATACAATTATTTATTTTGTAATATTTTGCTGGTATTTTTATAGTATTTTTTTTTAAAATTCCCTATATGATCTATAGTACAAAATACAATAATTATTTTAAAAAATAAAATCATTATTTGTCTTAATTTGAAGATAGTGATTTGTAGTGATGGAGATTGTGTTGATAGAAAAACCACAAACGTTGTATATAAAGAGTTGTTTAACAATATTTAGTTATTCTTTTTAGAACATTTTTCCAATGATTATATTATGATTTTTACTATTGTTTATATCTTTTTATTATTTTTTGTTGTATTATAATGCTTTCCGTGCAAATGCACGGGTTAAAAACTAGTATATATTAAAGCAAAGCAGCTGGTTCAAGAGCTGTTTTCCCGCCTAAGATATGCATTAATTGCTATAATTAAGTTTCCTTTAATAATATTTAGTTAATGTCAAAATGACTAATCACTTACTTGCATTTAACTATAATAAATAGAGTCCATTACTTATGATGAAATTCTTGGGTTCAATGCATTGAGAATAATAATTACAATACTCCCTTAAAATTTATCACCAAATTAAAAATCCATCTCCTTCCCCGCGATGGCTTCGTCCGCCACCACAACAATTTCTCTCGTCGGCCCGCCGGAGATCCACCGGAAGTCTACCCCTCTCGTCGCCCCCGCCCCGGCCGCCAAAGGAGATCCGTT